CCCCCCCCCCCCCCGCCACCGCTCCCTGGGCCAGCAGCTCCCTCCTCCCCGTGCCACAGAGAGTCTGGGGGAATATAGATCACTTTCCACCCACTCTTCGGTATTTTGGGGCGATGCCAATTTCTCCTCTTGCCAGCACGGCAGACCTTTCTCTTCCTTCGCTCCCCGCTTGTCGCTCCCGCTTCTAGCCCCGTGCCCCACCCCACAGGCCTGACTCCTCCTGCCCCGCCCTTGGTGTTTACACAGCGTAAAACACAGAGCCTGTTGCGTTTCACACGCGCTTTGCCCCCGGGGCCAGTGACCCTGCTGCAGCTGGAGAGCTCACGGGGCTAAGCAGACAGCTGTGAGCCTGCATCAGCTGGAGTCCCGGCTAGGGTAGCAATCGGAAGCTAGGTTGCTAAGAGATCTGCCGTGGCATCTATACCCCCTCACCCGCTTTGGTGCTTAGGGATAAGGAGGAGGCTTTTATAGTCACTGGCCACCAGTGGGCGCCCTGGTCACCTCCCCCCCAGCTAGTGTGGGGCTGCCCTGAGTGACCACAGGGAGGTGTGGGCCGGGAACGTGCCCTGCCTGCGGGGGGGGGTGTGTGCCCCAAGGCACCTCCTGTGCTGCTGGCTCAGGGCCCCTTTGCCCCCCAGGTGCGTTCAGGGCGGGACCACGGCCATCCCGGGGGCCTTTGGCTGCGGCAAGACGGTCATCTCGCAGTCGCTGTCCAAGTACTCCAACAGCGACGTCATCATCTACGTGGGCTGCGGTGAGCGCGGCAACGAGATGTCAGAGGTGCTGCGGGACTTCCCTGAGGTGAGCTGGGAGGGTCCGGGGGGTGGACCCAGCTGGGGGGTGGGAGCCATGGGGGTGAACCCAGCTGGGGGGGGGGAGGGGCGGAAGTCATGGGGATGAACCCAGCTGGATGGGGGGCGTGGGGGCTGAACCCAGCTGGGGGGGCGGGAGCCATGGGGTGAATCTAGCTGGGGGGAGCCATGGGGGTGAATCCAGTTGGGGGGGCAGGAATCATGGAACATGGGAGGTATCTCACTGATGGGGTTGTGAGCCATGGATGATGGGAGGCGTGGGGGTGGGAACCCTGGCCCATGGCGGGGCCTCTTCTTATGCTAGGGGCAGCTCATGAGCCGGGGGTGCTGTGGGCTTGGGGGGGATCATGGGTTTTCTGGGCTTCTCCAGTTAAGCTTGGGGCTCAGGAGCCGTTTCCCTCCTGTCACCAACACCTGCGGCTCCCCTGGGGCGATGTCATGACCCTCCTGGCTCTGGGCTGGTCCCAGCTGGGACCCCTGGCCGGTTCGGTAGGGGTGTACTGGGCCAGTCCCGGATGGGAGCCACCTGGCCGGTTCGGTAGGGGTATATTGGGCCAGTCCCAGTTCGAAGCCCTTGGCCGGTTCCGTAGGGGTGTATTGGGCGGGTCCTTGTTGGGAGCCCCCTGGCCGGTTCGGTAGGGGTGTACTGGGACTGTCCCAGCTGGGAG